ACCCCCCTCCCTCCCCTCCTTCCCCTCAGGTAGTGAGGCCGCCGGCCCGGCTCGGCACGGCCCGCTTGGGCCCGCCCGCTGGAACCGAGCGATGGGAGGCAGCGGGGAGCCGGGCCGGCATGTTCACATCCGGGGCGACGCACATGCGTGCCGCCTTATTCCGGGATAACTTTGGCCCGGGTCAGGCCTAGCGGGGCCGCGACGGGTACGGACAGCACCATTTTCACCAGGCCGGGGCCTCCGCCGCCGCCACCGCTCCGCCCCTGAAGGGAGGCGCCCGCAAGGCCCGCTCCGCCCCGGCCCGGCCTCACCCTTCCCCGGGGCACGGCTCCTCCTCGCCACAGCCGCCGGTGGAGGGTCCCCCGTGATCTGGAGGAGATGGGTGTGGGGTCTGCGGTGGGCCTGACCCCCCATCACACCATCCCGGGGACACCCGTTGCGTGTCTGTGCTCGCCGCCTTCCCGCCCAGAGCGCTGTGGAGGGAGCAGGTGGTCCCCTTCCATCTGCCGCCCACCCGTCGGGTCCAACCCTTCCAGGTATCCCCCCAGCCTGTCCTCCTTCTCTTCTGCTGCCTCCTTGGACGGGGTGGGGGAGAGCGGTGAGCTGTGGCTGCTATGCCCTCCCATGTCCCCTCCAGGAATCTCCAGCCACAGAACGGGAGTCTCCACGGAGCTGCCGTGAAGATGGACAAGCTCAAATAGAAGAAGTTCCACCTAAACATGAGGAGGAACTTCTTTGCTGTGAGGGTGGCAGAGCCCTGGCAGAGGCTGCCCAGGGAGGTGGTGGAGTCTCCTTCTCTGGAGACATTCAAACCCACCTGGACACGTTCCTGTGGGACCTGCTCTGGCAGGGGGTTGGACTGGATGATCTCCAGAGGTCCCTTCCAACCCCATATAATTCTGTGATATTCCCCATCTGGAGCACTGGGTCCAGTTCTGGGCTCCCCAGTTCCAGAAGGACAGGGAACTGCTGGAGAGGGGACAGCAGAGGGCTACAAAGATGATGAGGGGCCTGGAGCATCTCTCTGATGAGGAAAGGCTGAGGGACTTGGGTCTGTTTAGTCTGGAGAAGAGGAAGCTGAGGGGGGATCTGATCAACACCTATAAATCCTTCAAGGGTGGGTGTCAGGAGGAGGGGCCAGTCTTTTTTCAGTGGTGCCCAGGGACAGGACCAGAGGGAACAGGCACAAACTTGAATGTAAGAAGTTCCACCTCAACATGAGGAGGACCTTCTTTGCTGTGAGGGTGGCAGAGCCCTGGCAGAGGCTGCCCAGGGAGGTGGTGGAGTCTCCTTCTGTGGAGACATTCAAACCCCACCTGGACACGTTCCTGTGTAACCTGCTCTGGGTGGACCTGGTTTGTCAGGAGGTCAGAGTAGATGATCTCCAGAGGTCCCTTCCAACCCCGTAGCATTCTGTGATGCTGTGATGTGCCCCCAAGTCACCCCACGGGACATAGCGTGGTTGGGAAATTTCAGGACCTGATCCTACTGGGATAAGAACTGAGATCTACGGCCGCAAGTATGAACATAAAAAAACTAACCCCACAGTTTATGAGAAAAAGAGAGGAAAAGGCAGCGTGTCCCTATCCTGGTGTACAGGCTGTGAAGGTTCATGATTTCAGATCAACCGATAGCTTTATGGCAGCGCCGTAGGGGTTTTATCCAGCTCTTATTAACTTCCCTCTGGGCTTTAATAAATCATTCACAGCCCCTCTGGCTGCGAAATGGAAATAAAAATCTTGATCTTCATCATATTTTGTGAAATACTTTGAATAATGTCTGGGCGGGTGTGGGGGTAAGAGACAAGACTTCGCTTTAAAGAAATGATACTCCCTTTACTAATAACTTCTGATGGGATCGTAGTTGGGATTTTTTTTTCCAGTGCTCTGCTTAACTGGAGTCTGTACTTCCAGACACACACATCCCTGTAAGAAATATGGGTTTTTGTTTTTTTTTTTTACTTTCCTAGGGTTTTACCTGGGATGGGCACTCCATGTTCTATGAAGATGGACCTAATTATATAAGGACATTGACTGTGCTCTGGAGCACACAAAGACCAGCCCGGCAGGGAACAGAGCTGCTGAGGACAGAAGTTTAATGGTAAATATAAATAGATTAAAGGCAGCACGGAATATTCTATTCAAGAAAAGCTTTTCAAAGAAGCCTTTTCATGTGACCCTTATACCTGAGGGCCATGACTTAGCCAGGCAGCACCAGAACACCCCCAAAAGTAACTCGACATACGCCCGGGCTTCAGAAAGAGCCGCTATTTCAAATTGGGAGCATTAAAAGGGACGGGTCCTAGATACGTGACATAAAACAGTAACAATAAATCTTCATGGTTCAGTTGTTTCCACTTTTTTTTTTTTTTATGCGACATGAAGCAGAAGCCACTGAGAACTGCCAAACCAGGAAGAAAGACTTGATTTTCTGAACTGGTTTGTGCACCTATTTTGGTGACAAAAAGTACAGGTGCCACCTCATTTTATGGATCTAAGAGAGGCTGATTCTTTTAATGTTTGCTTGACAAAAATCGCTTTCCTGCCTCAGTTTCCCCTCAGCAAACAAGAACTGAGTGCCACGGCCACAGGGCTTTCACCCCCTGGACAAGCTATGTACCACAACTCCTTTTCTAACAAGCCATGTGACGGAATCCTGAATATACCCCCTTTAAAAAACGGTGTTAAGTGTCACTATTTCATTAAGTTCAGTTTATTAGAGGTTTCCAAGTCACTGATGCAACTAGTCAATGATCAGACAGCAGCGTTTGCCCTCAGAGCAGGGGACTGTGCTCTCCTGCCAGCCCCTCTCAGCGATAACATTCAAAATAAATTTTCATTAAATTTGGAGTTTAGCACCATCACAGACAGTGCTGAAATGAAAGCCCTGAAAAGCTGGATTTTCTGTTTCTTTGCAGCCCTTTTGCAAGCAGAGCAGAAGGGCCCCGCTGAACATTAGGCCAGGAAATGTGGCAACCGTGGTGGCAGGATTGGTGGGGAAAAAAACCTTCCAGGAGAGCCACTGGAGGCTTTGGCACCTTCGCGAGATGTCAGATGGGGACAATAAATTCCTCTCTTGTAACCACTTAAAAAGAGACAGGTCTTTGTGCTGCGGAGAGGATGGGCTGACAACCAGCAGCAGGTTTTGGGTCAGCATCTCCAGAGCCATCCTGCTCCCAAAGTAACATCTCCCAGCAGAGAGAAGGATGTTTAGCAGTCCCCTCTGGGACACATTCGGGGCTGAAGCTTTGCAAATCAACACCAGAAGCCAAATCAAGCCTCTCCAGCCCTTTGGCTCAGCCCCAGCTGCGGGAGGAGGTGAGGTGGGACCACCAGGATGTTTCTGGGGGACCCCTGCCCGGGCAGGCAGCTGGGCTACCGGTGCAGCGATGGGGACAAGGTCCCTGCAGAGGGTGCTCCAGCCCCAGCTACTTTCCTCCAGGGTTTTCCTAGAAACCCAGGGGTGGGAAGAAACACCTTGGCAGGCAGGGAACGCCTTCGGGGAGAGATTTAGCCAGAGGGTTAGTTGCCCAGACAGGCCTGTTTTCCAGGAGTTCAATCCATGGCTCTCCACAGTTCCGTATAAAAAGAAGTTTCTGCTGCAGCCGAGTAAAATACAACCCTCTTCAACAGCCTGACACGGAAAAGGACTCTGGTTTGACTCTTACAATGCTGTGGAGCAGAGGAAGGCTACTTCCCCAAGATGTGTAGTGGCCACCAGTAGCACTTCACTGTAAGCCCAGCAGCACTGTGACCCAAACCACAAACCACCACCCTCTGTTTCCCTACTGACTTGGAGTCAGAGGAGTGGAGTGGACTCAGGTGTAGTTCCCACAAGATGACACTGCTCAAAATTCATTGCAATAATTGCAGTTTAGAGATTGAAGTCCAAAATAGACCCTTGAGACAAGGACATTCTTGTATCTCCCTACTTTGGCAGGTGGCATAAATAAAATAGGAGGTTTTGCCATGCTATTGGGCAAATGACAACAAATTGAAACTCTCTTAATTCTATTAGTTCCTCTGGGTGTGAGCTGACACCCTGGCCAGAGATGGTGAGGGAAGACCACCCCGGGGCACTCTCTGTTCTGCATCTCATTCCCTAGGTTGCCCAGAGGTGCTGAGCAGCCAAGGCTATCAAGCACAAAATAGACCCTTGAGACAAGGACATTCTTGTATCTCCCTACTTTGGCAGGTGGCATAAATAAAATAGGAGGTTTTGCCATGCTATTGGGCAAATGACAACAAATTGAAACTCTCTTAATTCTATTAGTTCCTCTGGGTGTGAGCTGACACCCTGGCCAGAGATGGTGAGGGAAGACCACCTCGGGGCACGCTCTGTTCTGCATCTCATTCCCTAGGTTGCCCAGAGGCGCTGAGCAGCCAAAACTATCAAGCAGCATTTATTTTCACATTCTTGAAAAACCAACTGTTTTGGAGAAGCGCTGGAAAATACCCTTTTCTGCTTCACAAAGCGTTTTTGATGTATATATGTATTTTAGTAGTAATATTGATTATCTACTCAGTCCTCCTGCAAAAACCTTCAGCCCAACTCCTGAAAAACCACAACACAATGACTGCAATAAATCATCTAGACCAGAACTAAGGCAGGATCTCGTATGTACCAGGATCTTCCCTTCTGACTCGTTACTAATTCTTCCCTCTCTGTCCGTTTCTTTGGAGATGAGTTCACATCTCCCTGGCTTTCAGAGCCAGCAAGCCCCAACAACCACTACAGATGCCTTCTCTTTGGCTCCTTTATTGCCCTGACAGCGGGAGGGCAGCCGGTCATGCTAGATTAAGACATCATTTTAATAAGCAGCTTCAGCACAGGGACACGAGGGAAGAGAAGCAAAAAGTTTCTGAGGGACTCGTGTTTCCAACACATGCCCAAAGGGTTATTTAAGGTCCTT